CCCCCCCCCCCACAATTTATTTCTTTTATTTAAAACTACTAAATACATTTTATTTATGTCTACCTCATTAATTATTAAATTCGCTCAATCTAAAATTATGGACTAAAACTAAATTCATCCCCTTTTATTTCAACTTACTATATATACTAATGGGTTTGGCCCAAACTAGGCTTAGAATTACAAACCAAGCTCAAAAATAAATACCAACAAAGACCAAGCTCAACTCAATCTACAAGAAATACACGTGAGATCTCCATTTTAAGAAGGGAATCAAGGTACGCATCGCAAGTCTCAACCACCTCATCCATTACACCAACATCACGAAGTCACCCACTCTCATCGCAAAGGTGATGCTTTAATCAGAGCTCCCTATGATGGCATCTCCTTCAAAACTTAGGGCACCATGAAAACTATACTCTCTTATAAATTATAAGTCTCACCTACACATTGAGCATCACATACATTTCAACACACTACACCTCTTGAGTAATAAGAATCTCCAACTACCGTAGTCATTCCCAATAGAGTAGGTCATTCAGACCAAACCACCTAATTTCTATATTTACTTGTACTTACATTTCACTCTTAATAGATTTTTACATAAATATTTTTTGTGTATTACCATAGACAATGATCAAAAAAAAAATCGATCCACTATTTTGGTATGACAATGTTTTAGAAACAAATTGAAAAATTAATAATTTATTTTAAAAATATTTTAAAAAATTAGTCAAAATATTTAAAAAATATTAATAAAAATGTCTCAAAATACTTTGAAATATTCTAGATCATCTCGAAATATTAAAATTTTAATTCAATTTTATACTTCTTTGAAATATATATTTAATAGTTTAANATCAAAATATTTAAAAAATATTAATAAAAATATCTCAAAATGTCTCAAAACACTTTGAAATATTCTAGATCATCTCGAGATATTAAAATTTTAATTCAATTTTATACTTCTTTGAAATATATATTTAATAGTTTAATTGAATGAATATAAATGAGAATGAACTTAGACATTAATGAGATATATATTGATGGAATGAACTTTAATAATTCTAAAATAAAGAATTAAATGGGGGTAGAAACAAATATTTGAAGGTGGGAATTGCCTCACCCAATTAAATTTGCTCTTAAACATTAGTGAGAGAGATAGGGGGAGAGAGAGAGAGAGAGAGATGAAGCCACTGCAGGTGGACTACTTTGCGGACTTGGACGCCGAAGACATCGAAGCCCTCGAGATCTTAGGCGTCGAGGCCCCATCAACAGCCGTCGACCAACAAAGGCTAGCCGACGCCGACTTCTTCAATTCCTTTGAAGACGATTTTGATGACTCCGACATCAACTAAGCCTATCGCCGCCGCCGCCGCCACCAATCCCTGTATTTCTAGGGTTTATCATGTGAGAAATAAATTTTATATTATATAAACATGAAAACTCCTCTTCTCTAGTATCCCAAACACCTGTTTGATCATATCTGTTTCTTAGAAAAATCAAGAAATGACAAATTTAGCTACTTAGTGTTTGGTATTTTATGGTGAAATTTTGTTGGATTTACTGGAGGAATCGAAAGCAAAATGTAGAGGAAATCGTTCTCTTGTTTGGTTGCTGGGAAAAAAAAGGGAGGAAAATTATTATACGAAGGAAACTAAGAAAATTTGTGCCTAATAAAACCCTTAAAATCTTATCATTTGCATGACTTTTAAGCAGTGTTAATGAATTTTCAATCTCTGTTTTCATCTGATTTAAGTAGGAGAGGGAAAATCCGAGGGAAATTTCAGGGGAATTATATATTTCGTTTACCTTTTTTCCTTCTCAACTCTCTTCCCATTAAATATCAGTGAAACAACTTATGATTTCTATTAATTTCTTTTTCGTTTAATATTTGAAGAACCCTTATTTTTTGTGGGGGTTTTTTTAAGAACTTTCAATCCCCTAGGCAGCATGGTATTGGAATTGGAGAAACATTTGTTTCAGTGGGTTTTTTATTCTGAGTAACATCATTTAGATCGAATTTAATTTATTAATTTAATGATATAATTTTATTAAAATTATTAGATCAATAACAAATTTTAATAGTATTGGCCTTTTATTTTTTTGGGTTTTTTTCTAATATTTCTCAATGTTTGATACCATTCAAGCATAATGATGATACCACAACTATATTGAAATGTGTGTTTGGGGCTCCTCGCAAATCTATAATCCACATAATTTAACTAGCAATAATCCCGTGTCTCAAGATATTTTATTATATTAATAATTAAATATTATATAATTAATATTTTAAATTTATTTTCTTCTATTTAATCACAAAATTTAAAACTAAATTAACAAAAAAATATGGGGGAAAGAAGAGAGGCATAAGTGGGAATTGGTGTACTTGTCTGGTATTGAAGGTCGTGCAATAAAAATAATATTTTTTAGTAAAAAATAAATTTTTGAATAAATTTTATATTATTAAATTAAAGTAAATAAAAATTTGATTAAGTATCATTGTTGTTTTATTTTTATAACTAAATATAATAATTAGATTGATGACTATTATATGTAAAAAATTGAGATACACCATTTACATGTGGAGTGTGATGGCGATCAGTGAAACTGGTTGAACCGGGGCTCTGCAGAGTGGGCAGCTAGAGTGAGATTGAAACCACATGTCTATGCAGTCTATGTGAAAGCAGTGGTTGCATTTGGGTAAGACCCGAACCGTCTCGTTGTTTTCCAACTCGGATAAACACACGGCGCATTCTAGCGGAGGGCCGTGGGCTTTAGCTTTAGAGACGTAGAAAATGGGGAGAGATTTGAGGGCTGAGGGTTCCAGGCCTTTACTACTACTGCTGCTGCTGGTATTATGGTCGGAGTTGAGGGCTAAGGGGTGGGCCTGGCGGAGGTGGCGTGAGCGACGGAGGTGGAAACAGACTATGATGGCGAGAACCAGGAAGAGAACAAGAACAGTGATCAACATAACCTTTCCACTGAATTCATAGCTAGTTGGATCACAATCCATCGCAAGCTCTGTTGCTTTGTCATCCTCCATATGTGTGTGTGTGTGTGAGAGAGAGGCTGGGGGTAGTATGAGTTGAGATAGAAAGAGGAGAGGCAGGTGGTTTAAATGGGGATGTTGTCTTGAAACCGTGATAAGAAGAGGAAGGTTCCCAGTAGCTGAATGTGGATGAGTTTTATTATGGGTTTCTCAGACCTTTTTTAGTGTCTGTCCTCCTGCTATGTCTGTATCCTCTACCACCGACGGGTGGTACAGTGGGGCATCCATTAAATTTTTTATTTTTAGGTTAAATATTTGAATCTTAAAGTACACATTAGAATTTGGTAGTTGACCGCTATATTAATTTAAGTAGGTCTGTTTTCAAAAAAAATAATGGACGCGGACACAAACCTCATAGTTCTAGTAGGTCGTATCTAGACGCTCTTTTTTACCGCCATCATTTTTTTGATCAGCAAAAAAAAAAAAAATTGTACGTATCCTTCTTTGTTGGATTTTTATAAGGAATACTGCTATCAAGGGATGCTAATCAAGGTGAGTTATTCAGAATTGACTCAGATTTTTATTTGAGCCGAATTTGAAATGTGTTCTAAATGAGTTGAGGTTGAACAAGTTTTCAGGCTCGTTTAAACAAACAAACCTAAAATATTCGACCCAAGTTCACAAAACTCGACTCGTTTATTGGTAAAATAATCAACCTATTCAAGTTTGGCTGGGCTTGGGTTCTAAGCGGGCTGGGCTCGGGTTATTTGAACAATTTTTTAAACTCGTTTAGAAAAACAAATTCGCTAAACTCGAGTTCAAACTCGACTTGATAAACACTCTACTACCATCAATTGCGCATTAGCATGAAAAGTTACTTCCATCCCCGACTTCTTATATTAATACCCCCACCGACAATCACTCTCTCCGTTCCGTCTTCTGGTCTAGGAAGAGTGCTGTTTTCAGAGAATGTAATTCGGGAGAGTGTGGTATAATTGTTGAACTAATAATTAATCACATCTACATTAGGTTGTTTAGTTTTTCAGTCTGGATTTCTTTCCTTTTGCCAAAATTTCCAACAGCTTCAACAATTTTGAATAAAAAAAATTCTTGGATGAAAATAACCTTGGTGTTTGGAAAAATTATCAAATTTTGAAGGATTGTATAAAACAGAAAGCCCAGTGCAAAAACATTTACCATTGCCTGGTCTGTGTAGAATTGATGATGTTGCGGATATATTTATACTAGTAAAATTTTGGATAGAGGAGAGATTAGAGACATAAATGAGAAAAGAGGAGAAGAGACACAAGAATTTTATGTGGTTCGATCCACTGCCCGAGCTTCCACGCTGTTGATAAACAAATTAGATGGTTGCTTTGTGTATTCGATACAAAGAGAGCAGCAATACTTTATTTTATACTGACTAAATTTTAAGATCAAATTTAATGTTTAAATAACATGACAGTATATTATTTGAAATCTTTATTGAAATTTAAATGACATGACACAAAATAAAAAAAACTCAAGTCAGTTATCATGTCATATGATACCCTTGCCATAAATGCTAACGACTAAACTTTCCGTGGCTGTTTGTCTTCAAACTTGACAGCTTGATCTGATCCCGTGATCTATCCGATCTCATGTCTTCCTCTCATATCTCAAAACAAAGGCAGTGAAACTATCTTAAAAATACAATAAAGTTTGTCTTCAATGATGTGGCACTAGATAAAAATTCCACCATTTTCTAATAACTTGCACACCATTTTGTAATTTTCTCTAAATCATACCTTTTCCTTATTTTCAATTGTTGGTTGAAAACTATTTTCAAATCCCCTCATAAACCCAAGAGGAAACACCAAAGATTTACGTGGAAAACCGGAATATTAATTATAGAACTGCCCCAAAATCTTGATCGCTTGAACTGGACTACTACCGTCTCGGATTCTTTACCGGAAAATCGTCTCTGCCTTGATAAGGCTGAGAACCGTGTCGAACTCTTTGGTGGAGCAAGGCAAAGTTATCGGCTCCCCTGCTTGGATTTCTTGTTCATATTGATAGAGCAATGCCTTGAATCTTATTGATGCAGCCAACCAAACCACTGGAATTTCATACTTTTCACACTCTTCACCTACGTAAATCGGCAAGAACCCACTTCGGATATGTTTCTTGTCATTGCTTTTCTTGATCTTAACGTTTCCGTCACCGCCATTCTTTCTCAGCTTCTTCATTAACCTATGAAGTTTTCCTCCAAGTACCGCCATTGTTAGACAGAAAAAGAAGTCTCTGATCGATGCTTCTGTTATTGAGAACGGGCCAAGAGAAATTTAGGGTTTAGAGTAGAGGTTCTTGAGAGAGAATGGAAAGTTATGGTGATCTGAGAAGAGGAAGGGTTTGGAGATTCTTGAGAAGGAATGCAAAATGTTTGTATAAAAGTGTTGTTCCATGGCATATAGAATAAAAAACAAGACACAATTAGGGATGATAGTGGACCGAAGCAGTGGTGAAGAGCGTAGTCTTCATTCTCGTGGGTGCTTAAAAAAATTTCGTCTATTTCCAGTTCATCTCCGTTAATGGATATTCTTTTTATCCTCATCCCCATCCGCGGGTAAATTTTTAATCTCTGTCCCCGTCCTCACTTTCCCCGTACCTGCCTAAGCCTAAGCCCAAAGCCAAGCATAAGCTCAAGCTCAAGTAACATAATCCAAAATTTTAAATAAATCCAATATTTTAAATAATCCAACAACATTCTAAATAATCTAACACAACGTAATATAGATAGCAAAATATAAAAGGCAAAACAATATAGTATTCTATTTAAAGTGTTATTGGACCACAAAAAGAGAAACGGAACTATTAGAGAGAAAGAAAAAAAAGGAAAATAAAATTGAACTAAGAAAACGATAGCACTACACTTGGAGTTTCCTAGAAAAATTTTTGTTATTACAATTCATATTACAGCCACAAAATGTTAAAAGATGAAAACTTAAAATTTCACTAATTCAGTAATTCTCCCCATTTCTTAGTTTACTTTGACAGAGAAACTCATCAACCTCCATTCACAATATTTCTTCTCACGATGAAATGCAAAACTATCTTACTCTCTCTTATCTGTTTTTAGAGCATGGTCAATCCAAACTCTTAACAATTTTAATCAGTGAGCACAAATAAAAAAATGAATAATCAGGGACAAAAGTTGATACGATTACCACATAGTAATGTCACTTATTAGTTTGATTACCATATTTCTAGATTGGTAGTTATAGTAAATATATTTAGTTAAGGCTTGAGAGTATATATATATAACGGGTAGCGGGGGCGGGGAGGAGGTAAGGGTAAGTCTATCCCCGCCTTCATTTCCGTACGGGTTTATACGAATATCTTCATATACGTCTACCGTTCAATACGTCTAGTCTATCTATGATCCAAACGAAACGAATTTGGACGAATACCTATTTTTTTCCGGTTCACTGTCATCCCTAAACACAATTGCTCACATTGTTGGCTATTGTTATAATTTCACTTTTTATAGTTATAAGAATCCAAATAACCTCTAAAATACTTCTCCTTACAAGTAAATCATCAATAACAAATTCAACTATATATTTATTTTTTAAATATGTGTGTGTGTGTGTGGGGGGGAGTTCTGGTCACTTTCTGTTTTTTGGACTTCATTTAAAAGGAGTGCTTCTTCTGGGTTAAAGGGGTGAGCGATTTCCTTATTTTTCTCTACTCATTTCCAAGCATCTTTTTTTGGGTAAGGGAATTCATTCAACGCCCTTTCCTCTTCACAAGGTTGGGAAACCTCTAGTTTTAGGAAAATTCTTCAACAAAAAACCCCCTACCAAAGTTGTTGAGGCCTTTTCATGCTCGTGGTGGTCATCATTTGGTTTCCTCAGGGGCTAGGATGGCTATTGATAGTGATGAGGAGGTGTTGGTCAACTCTTCTGATTCTGATGTCGACTCAAAACGGGTTGAGTTGGATGATATGAGCGTTGGGGAAGGCTCCTAGTTGACCGACAAGGCTTCCCTATAGGAGGCCCATGAAGTAGAGTGTAGCCTTACAAATAGAAAATTGATTGCTTTAGTATCAAGACATGTGATCCCTGGGACTGTCAAGCTTCGTTTGCCTCATGCCAACGAGCAAGCTTGCTCGATTTCCTATGGGGAGGTGTGTTTTCCAATGTTGACTTTTTAAAAAGGCGTTCATTTCCTTGTTCCCCTTTTCATTAGGTCGGTCCTTTCCTGGTTCGGACTGTCCCCTTACCAGCTTGTTCTTAACGTACAGAGGACCTTGACCGATCTTATGGCCCTTTGGCGATTGAGCGACCAAGGTCGTTATTCTATATGTCTTCATGGAGGCTTAAGTACTGCTTCAAGGTCAAGGAGTGTCAGCAGAAAGAATATTTTTATTTTAGCCCTCAAAATAAGGTCGCGAAGCTTGGGTTGGGTGTACCTTACTCTAATAAGGACTAGAAATCTAAGTTTCTCTTCTTGTCCGGGGATTTGGACTTTAGCCCAAATGGAGGCTCCTCCAGCAAGTTCACCTCTCAGTACCACTCCCTTCTCTCTCTCTCTCTCTCTCTCTCTCTCTCTCTCTTTGTATTGACACTTTCCTTGCTAACAGAGTTGTCTAGTATGTCTTTGGATAAGCAGGTTATTGCTACCTTGAAGCCAAGTAGATGATCGGGGGATCTAAGCTTCTTCCTCTAAAAAAGTTCAAGCTCCTGAGAGTTTGGGCTATTGCTATCCTTGCAA